TAGAGAGTAAAAGTTAACAGCTGAACATAAATACTCAAGTACTTGACTAACAAAATAGTTGTACTTCCTACCTCTGCATTATTGAGCATATTCAATTCAAATTTTCAGTTCAGTTTTATTTATATAGAAGGAAATCACAAAAGCAGTCACCTCAAGGTGCTTTATATGGTAAAGGCCCTAAAGTAGTATAATATGGAGAGCAGTACTGATTTAAAGATGTATACACGATGTTAGGATAATGGCCTATTACTTTGCAAAAACATTTTTACTCATTGCTCACTGCTCTGTAAAGTTACATGTTAATGCTATTTAAATTCATATTGGTGAAAGGAAATGTAATTTTACTTGCTGTTCTGTCGCTCCGTGTTTACAGGGCCAGTCCGTCAGACAGCTCTGATGGCGATGGCGGTGAGAAAAAAAGGACGTGTTGTCACGGAGGTCTACCCTGGTGGTTTATTTTTTTTGGCTGGCTGCTGGTGATCGCAACCAGTGTCATATCAGGCTATTTCACAATGCTGTATGGCTTGAAATTTGGAAAACCGCGCTCCATAAGTTGGTTGGTGTCCATGGTTATTTCCTTCTTTCAGAGTGTCCTCCTTATTCAGCCGCTGAAGGTGAGAAGAACATTTGTCTGTTATATACATACCCTTAAGATTTCCTGCACAGTTAAAATTTCAGTTACAGTTTTCTTATAATTTAACATTTCTAATATAGATAATTTTTTGTAAATTTAAATATTTACTCAAAATAAACCACTGTATTTATTCATGCCTCTCAAAACAGGTGCTTTGTCTTGCAATCTTCTTTGCTCTTGTGATTAAAAAAGTCGAAGAGGAAGATTTTCAAAATGTTCAATTTGAAAGAAACCACAGAAATATCGGTAAAATATCAAGAAAAACTCTAGAAAGCATACTTTCTTCCTCTTTTGTTTAAATACTGAACATTTCTTTGTCAACAAACTTCATCCACAGGTGAACAAATGTTTGTGCGCTATGGCAGTGTTTATGAGCCTCCGCCTCTGGCAGACGTAGAAAAAATGAGGAGGAACAGGATGCTGGAACAGAAAGCCTTTGCTCTAATCAAGGAGATACTGAGTAAGTAGATGCACAAAGAACTGCGAATTAAGCTGATTAAAACAAATTGAAGGAAATCTTCATCAAGGACGGGAACTGCAGAAAGAAAATAATAATTTTGACTACCATTTATCTTCCAGCGATGTTGTAAGTCTGACCTGAAATTAATGCTGGGTTTGAATTAATCCCACTGTATGTTTCAGTCTACATGGGGTTCCTGTGGATGCTGCTGCTGGTGGCACATGGCCAGAGAGATCCAAATGCTTTTTACCTAAACACACACATTAAACAAAGCTTCTGTGGAAATGCCCCAGCCACCATGGCAATTCAAGATGTATTCAACTGGGCCAAGACATCTCTACTCAGTAACCTCTTTGGACAATATCCAGGTAAATATTTGTTACAAAAATGACAGTCAAACAGGACAGGGCTTCGCTTTTATCTCTGTTGTAGACGTTGCCAGTTACTGGCCACCTCCTCTAATCGGCAGGCTCAGTAGACTGTTATCAAAGGAATATGGGAGAAATGGTTTTGCAAAGAGCAACAAAAGTCCATACAAGTATGTTATCAGAGTGGAAGTGGAAAGCAATTTGATGACTTTCAACAAGGAGTCATGATTTCTGACCTGAAGCTGTTTATTCTGCTTCACTGTTTAGTTGTGTTCTTACTTTTAAGGGTTAGCGTTGAACTTTTTTTAGAACGTTCCAATAGCAGAACATACAGAAGGGTATAGTATATATATACTGTATGGTATATATCTGTATCTGTATATGGTTATATCTGTATATATACAGATATAACCATATTTACACGAACAGGTAAATTAGTTTGAGGTTCGATTCAATGGTTTGCAAAAAACAGCTGATATTTATTTTTTTTCCTGTATCTAACATAATAACAGTGAAATGTTAGTGACAGGTTACTATATGATTATTTCACATTCGCTTTACAATAATATGCTTGACATGCATCAAAGAGCTAGCTTTTCTTCTGCTAATACATTTAGACATACAGAGTGAGACGTTTGGCAAAGTCTCTTTTCCCCCTTTTGTTATCTCATAAAAGTTTTAGAAGATTTTTTTGTTTATTAAAGCAGAACATA